ACCCATGTGCGTGGCCTCCTCGCGTGGAGACCCCACAGCACCTGTCTTCTTGGTTCCTGTCATCTAAGACTCAGGGGTTTTCCTAGTCAACGAGCTAAAAAAGTACCCCTCACTGGGCCGTTATATACTGATCTGTTTTCATGTTGTATTCCCCCAGGAGAATGTAGGCCCTTGGAGGGCAGGCTCTGATTTTCATTTTGTGTCTGAGAGGCATCTGCTCAGGGCTCTATGCTGGGTAGGTGTTTAATAAATGCCTTTTTTCTGTGGCTGTGCCTTAGGGACAGATTACTTCCTCCTGGGCAGCAACAACCTACAATTCCAGTAATGCCACAAGATGTCTATGGCATGTTAGCCGTGGTCAGTCCAAGGACGGCCTTGCTTGTTGTTGGTAAGATTTCTAAGGAAAGAAAATGTTTCTATGCTTGAACATATGTGGGAACTCTTTATTCAAATAAATTTCTGATCTGCAGAAGAAACCATTGTCGCCCCACTGATCACAGCCTTAGTGATGGGAGAGGCACTGATAGAGGCAGCGGGCCTAGTGGATAGAGCAGAGAGGTGCCTTGGACATATAAGGGCTGCATGAACCTGGGGGAATTGCTTGTCGTCAGGCTCAAATGATGTTGAATTTAATTCAGTGAACATTTAAGTGTATCCTCTGTATGGAACACTACTTTTTTTTGGTCAGTCAGGAAGCAGATACTGAACCCACTCTGGGTCAGGTTCTCTACTAAGTTCTGGGGATACAAAGGAAGGCAACAACCAGACCAAAGCAAATCCTGCTCCCGGCTCTTAAGGAGCTCACGTTCTAACAGAGAAGAAACATTTAAACAACTATGCACACAGAAGATGCCTACGGAGGAGCTGGGAGGTAACTCGGAGGGAAGACGCTAGCATGAGAACACCAAGAAAGCCCTGCAGAAGGGGGATTTTAGATGTTTTTTATTTAAAAATTTATTCAATAAACAAGCATTTATTTTCTCTTCTTTCTACCTCCTCTCCCTGTCCCCTCCTCGGGGAAAAAACCCAAACCAAACTAAACCCTCATAATAGCTATGAACAGTCAAGAAAAACAAATCCCCACATTGGCCGTGCTGAAGAATATCTGTTTCATTCTACACCTTGAAGCCTTCCCTCTCTCAGTAGGTGGGCAGCATTCTTTGTCATCAGGTCCCTGGAGTCATGGTTATCTGTGCATGGCCCTTTTAAAGGGCCATGTTTGCTGAAGCCCATGGCCTTATTCTTGTTACTGAGTGGATGTGGCCTGGGGCCACACCGTCCTGTCAGAGGGCGGGTGATGGTAGTAGTAGTAGTAAACAGCTACTCTCAAAGACAGAGTTTTACACTGACAAGTTGTCTGACTGACAACTACATCATGGTGGGTATGTGGCCTCCTGATCCGATGCTGGTCTCCTGGCTTGAAATGCTGTAATTACAAGTCTTTGCACTGGATTTTGGCTCTGGAAGAAATCCTGAAACTCACCTTGCCTGCTCTTCTTGTCAATGCTTGCTTAGCGCCCATGATTCAGACCTTGTCTCCTTCTTAGAGATTTACTCAAATATTTCTTTACTAATTTTGTTTTTTGTTTTTTTTTTTTTTTGGCTAGGCAGTGGGGTTAAGTGACTTGCCCAGGGTCACACAGTTAGTAAGTGTTATGTGTCTGAGGCCGGATTTGAACTCAGGTCCTCCTGAATCCAGAGCCAGTGCTCTATCCACTGCGCCACCCAGCTGCCCTTCTTTACTAATTTTTTGGAGACCCTACAGAAGCAAAAGGTAATAATTAGATTGTAAGCTCCTCCAGAATAGAGACTGTCTTTTACCTTTCTTTGTAGCACATAGTAGGTGCTTAATTATTTATCAACTAAAAAGACATTGCAGACTAGAATGAGTCCTGTTGCTTTGAGATGTGATTAGCATTCTCAAAACCAACATTATTAACGAGTGCCTTTCCAACTTGGTACTTCCTTCTATGACTTTTTAGGTTATCTAGGGTATAGAACTGAAAGTGACCGTAGGGGCATACAATTGAAAACCCTCATTTTTTTCAGAGGAGGAAACTGAGTCCTTAGGAGATGAAATATTAAGAAGGAAAGCCTCAGACTGACATAATTCAGACACGTGATCCTCAGAGCCTGTAGCCAAAATCTCTTTGACCTAAGAAGGCAAGGTTCAGCCTCCTTCTCACCACCCTCACCCCCCAGACAAACAACTCTCTGTCATCACGCATATCCAATTAGTTGCCAAATCTTAACCATTGCTATCTCCAGAACATCTCTCCTGTCTGACCTGCTCTCTCTACTCAGGCAGCCATCACTTTTGGGATCTGTCACCTCTCATCTAAATCATTGCAATAACCACCTAACGCTTCTCCATGCCACAGGTCTCTCCCTACTTCCATCCGTCCCGCTGCTGCCAAGGGGATTTTCCTCAAGAATAAATCTGCTGAGGTCACTTCCTTAATGAACTTTAGTGGCTTCCTATTGGCTCTAGGATCCAATATTAATATGACCTGGCCCCATACCGTCTTTTCGGCTTCTCTGGACGTTACTCTCCCTCTCGCAGAATAATGGGTCCAAATTGGTTTTTCACCAGCCATCTCTGGTGCTTCACACCTACCTCAGAGAATCCTCTTTCTCCAAGAGGTAGCACAAGTGCCCACGAAGCCTTTGCTGATCCCCGCAGTTTCTAGTGCCCTTCCTTCCCAAACTTCCTGAATTTATTCTCTTTGTATTTATTCTACATACATAGGTACTTCTTGTTTTCCCCAACACAGTGTAAGTCCCTTGAGAGCAGGGATAGTTTCATTCTTTGTAGATGTAGCTGCAGGACTCAGTACAGTGCCTGACACATAGTTGCTCTTAATAAATGCTTGTTGATTGATTTCTGATTAATTGAAGTCTCCGCATTCACCTGAGCATAGCCGTGTGGAACCGCTCTCCTGGGTGCCAAACTCAGTGTAGAGAAGCACCAGCTCCTCACACATAACGAGGAGGATATGGAACATGAAGACCATCACAAGCGGAGGAGATTCCCTGGAGGCATCACCTTGGGGATGGATCAAATGGAAATTCCTCTATTTGACATTCGAAGTCCTTGCCGCGTGGCACCTGCCTGCCTTTCCAGGCCAACAATACGTTACTCTCCTTCATGCACTCTGGTCTGGTCTGGTTGGCTTTCTTGCCGTTCTTCACACATGACCTTTGTGTAGGCTGTTCCCCACTTCTGGAATGCAATCCCTCCAAGTCTCTACTTCCCATCATACTGAGTTTCCTTCAAAACTCATCTCCAGAATCACCTCCTAAACTAGGCTTTCCCTCTCCCATTCAGCCACTAGCGCCTCCTTGCTGCAAATGCTTTGTGTTTGTTTCATTCACATTTTTTATATACTTGCATGTGTGAATGTTGTCTTCCCTCTAGAACACAGTCTCCTTGAGGGCAGAGAAGACTTCATTTTTGTCACTGTATCCCCAAGGCCTGCCACTGTGCCTGGCACATAGCACCTAATAAAATGCTTGTTATTTGAATTATCAAGTTGAAAACCTATGTTTGTGGTATAGTATATTTACTTTGGTGTTCCAATCACTGATTGAGGCACTCTTAGGCCTGGAAAAGGTGGTGTTCAGGAGCTGACTGAGGCATTTCTGTGCTTCTGCCCTGTAGGCCTGTTTCCCTGTGTGTGTGATAAAATGCCCTTGAATTCAATGATGATAGCTGACACATACAGCCATTTATGTAAGATATATAAGTTTTCTCACACTTCTCTGAGCTAAGCAACGGCCATTATTCTCTCTTTATATATGAGGAAACGGAAGCTCACAGACATTAAATGACTTGCTCAGGGTCACACAGATAGTATCTGTCTGTGGCAGGATTTGACCCCAGTTTCTTTCTGACTACAACTCCAGCACTCTTTCCACCATGCTCCATTCTCTCTAAGAATTCTGTATGAGAATGATGTGATGTTTCAGGCAACAAGGTGGCACAGTGGATAGAGCTCCGGGCCCGGAATCAGGAAGACTCATTTTCCCAAGTTCAAACGCAGCCTCAGACACTTACTAGCTATGTGACCCTGGGAAAGTCACTTTACCCTGTTTGCCTCAGTTTCCTCATCTGTAAAGCGGGTTGGAGAAGGAAATGGCAAACCACTTCAGTCTCTTTGGCAACTTTAAATGGGGTCATGAAAATCTGGACGTGACTGAACAACATCCAAAGTTTATTTTTTTTTTTTTACATTTTACCTAATATCACATAGTTAACCATTACTTAATCAATACTTCAAGGCCCATGACCATGTTGATTTAGGTACTTCCTCCCCAACACAGGTGGTGCTCTCTTCATGGCTTAATAGAGTGTCTTTTGGATTGCTGTGCCTGAAAAAATGATCGTGTTGTAGATCCTTTCTGAACTTTGTCCCTCAAGCCAGCAGCACGTGGTTCCTGCTGCCCTCATTGCTTAGTAGCACCAGGCAGGTCATGGGCTTTGCTGACATGACTTTAGATGGCTCAGGGTTACTTCTGGGCTCCGCTGAGGAATCAGACGAGCTCTTCAGTGAAGGATTTTTTTCTCTTATAATCCACATAATAACCCACTTCCTTTCTCATATTTCTTGGTTCCTAAAGTAACAATATATATATAAGATTTTTAAAAACTTCTCCCCTTTTTTCTCAATTTTTTGGTCATTCTGTATTTGACAAACAGCATTAGACATGAACATTTTCATATACAGAGAAGACTGTTCTTCTCTTCCTCCAAATGCCTTTTGACATCTTGGCTTACCATTCTGAGTTCAGCCATCCTTTTCATTTGGGAGTCTTTCTCCTCTTGCTTCTCTTTTAGTCATATGTAATAGATGTATAAAAAATGATAGTCCCTCTTGGGACTGCTTGAGAGGTTACTTTTAGTGAAACATCAAACTTCTTTCCAAAGAAGCACTTGAGTTTCAGTTCAGTAGTCCAACCACACTTGCCCCTGTTTCTAGTTTGGGTTGTTATTTTAGGAAACCAGAAGCTCTATCATTTGCACATCCCTTATAGCCTTGACACCTTCAAATTGTCCTGTGATCTCCAGTCTTTCAAAAGACAGATAAGGCAAGATGAAGAAATTTTTGCTCCTCTGTGGGCTTCTGGCTGGGCTTTGTGGGGCTATTCTTGTGACAGGTAGGTGCTACTGGATGGTTTCCTTGGCCAGCAAATTAGCTGGCTCCATATTGCTAACATGCTTATACTTTTTATGCAATGGTTCTTATAACAGATATATGTATATATCTGTATCTATACTGATCTTATAGATTTTTATCTTGTGAAGGAGGTAGATTAGAGAGACAACTATAATTTCATGGATTTCATAGGATTTCTTTTTGGAAAGGACTTTGCATCTTACTCATCTGTAAATGAAAGCATTTAGACTTGATGGTCTGAATGCCCCTTTCAGCTTCAGATCCTATGACCTAGATATAACAAAATTTGACACTATTTAGCACAATCCTTTTATTATTTTAATTCAGAGGTTTTAAATAAAACATATAATATACCAATATAATAACAATATATTATATTGATATATTCATGTAATAATATATCATATGTTATATAATAGTATATAATATTACATTTATAACATGTAACAATATAATGTAATAATAATCTCATATATATATATGTAATTATGTTAATCTTCTTCATGTATTTGCTTGTCTAGGGCAATCTGGAAAATATGACTGTAGCCAGTCTTTGGTTCTAGGTAACTCTACAGGAATTCCTCTCCTTTAAAACTAAAGAAATCTCTATATGGTTTCTTAGAAGTAGATAATAACACATGTGGATTTTCTAAATAGATTTTCTGGAAAATTAAGACAATATTTATTTCTTATATGTGCAGATAGACTTAGTTACTTTTAAATTAATTTCCTTTTGTATTAGGTTGGGAGGTCCTTGAGAGTAGGAATTGTCTTTGACTTTTCTTTGTACTTAACACAATTCCTGGCCCATGGTAGGTGTTTAATAAATGTTCATAGACTGACTAATGTTGAATAGAGAATATGGGAGGGTTGTAGTATAAGTCAAGGGGAATAGGATAAAAAAAAGTAACAACCTGTGATGTATAGTATTAAATGATTTTTCCAACAATGGAAAAGAATTATATGAAATAGAAATAATATCACATATGATTAAATTCTTCCTAATACTAATCCTATTGATTTTATCTTGTGAAAGAAGTATAATTTCATGCATTTCATAAGGTTTCTAGTTGGACAGGACCCTGGCGATCATTGCTTTTTACTCATCTATAAATGAAAGCAGTTAGACCTGATGATCTAGAAGGTTCCCTTCAGCCTCAGATCTTATGACCTGGTTTTCACAAAATTGGACACTCTTTAGCAAAATCTTTTATTGTTATAAACCAGAGGTTTGAAATAAAAATTCCAAGTACAGAAATGTTGGTGGTAAGATTATCTCCTGGCTAGTGTCTAAATAGAGAATAGCTTTTATATTTTAAGCAAGTTCATTGAAGTTAGGCTCATATATCTGTTGCTAACTGTGATTATTTGTTTGAATTGAGATCTCTTTGATTCGTGACAACAATTATTGCCAGTACTTGAATTTCACAATTTTGGTGAATTGGAGTTCTCTTAAATTTCTTGCCAGTGATGCAGAGGCTCAATTAGTGTCTTCAGATGACATTTGCCTTCAAGAGTCTCACTTGAGCTAACATGATTATCCTTGTTATAATGGAACAACAAATAGCATTTTCTAATTAATGAACTTTAAAAAAGTTATTAGATAAACAAATAGGTTTCAGAAAAATATTTAGGAGGAAAAAAGCAGAGAGTAAGGGAAATGACATTGTTTTTAGATAGTTTAGGAAAATCAAGGGTTGGGACCTATGATTTTATCTATGTGGGGAACTCCTAGTGTGGAAAACTCCCTCTGCTGATGTGAAGCGTCAGTTTGTCTTGTCTGGGGCCCTAAGTGGTTAAATTACTAGCCCAGGACCACAAAGCCAGAATGTGTAGAGGGGGCAGACGTCAAACTCAAGTCTTCCTGACTTCAAGACTTCTACTTTAACCATCATGTCAACTTGCTCTTTCTGGGTCCTTCATTTTTTATATCATTATTCTGAATTGGTTTCATAAAATTTCTTCTCTTGAAGTCAAGAAGATCTGAGTTCGAGTTCTTCCTCAGATACTTCCTAGCTGTATAATCTTGGGCAAATCACTCACTCCCTCTCAGCCTTGGTTTCCTCATCTGTAAAATGGGAAGAATAACCAAGATTGTTGAGTGGATCAAACAAGATAATACATGTGAGATGCTTTGAATGTCTTAAATAGCTATATGAATTTGAGGCATTATTATTATTTTAATTATGCTACATAGCCTTTTGCCAGAAGATTTAATGTTTTAAATAATGACATAATAACACAAATACTTAAAACATTTAGGCATTAAAGAACTAAATAAATGTAAATAATAATTGTTTTTTAATATCACTGTCGATGTTTCCAATGAACATTATCATAAAAAATGATTCACCAACAGACAAAATCCTTTCCTCCTCCCTGTCTTATGTTTCTTCCCCTTTCTTCCTCTTCTCTGAGCCTTTTCAGACAGGGCTATAGCCTCAGTGTCTTACACAGGGGTAGGTGTTTATTTTTACTCTTTCATCATTACTTCTAAAATTTACATGCTTAACCTTTTATCTTATTAGTAGTAGGGTAGGAGGATTTTTTTCACCATTAGAATATATATGTGTGTATATATATATATATATATATATATACATATAATAACTTAATGGTCTTCTTCCAAATGTACTTAGCTTATTAGTTACTGCCAGGAAATAGCATACTCACATGGTATGACAATGCTTGTTACAGTATAACAGAATAATTTCATGCATATTTAAAAGGGGATGATAAGCTATCTATTACATACTTTTCCTAAAGCCACTCTGTCCTAGGATTTCAGATTAATAAAATAGCTAAAATATGAATATACAAAATTTCCAAATAATCTACCAAATTCTTCTAGTCTCTAAATTATTCCTTGGTGCTACTTTTAGGAGTCACAAGGACTCTTTTAGGCCACAAGAATCCATTGAGAATAGAACTTTTATTTTTTTAGAACAGAGCTTTAGTGGTCTAAGGACCTAATGTGCGCCCCAATGTAGACCTATTCAATAATTAAAAAAAAACTTCTGTGATTTCATAGATGTAGGTAACTCTCCCACCGACTCATATTCAAACCTTTCTGCGGCTTAGCAATTAGGCTTTATGACTAAAAAAACCCTCACAGCTTTCTGTTGATTCATCAGTCAATCAACAAGTAGTTATTAAGCAGTCACCGCGTGCCAAGCACTGTGCTAAGCTTTAGTGATTAAAGAAATACAAAAATAGTCCCTGCTCTCAAGATGCTTATATTCTAATAGGGATTGTTCAGTCGTGTCCAACTCTTCATGACCCCATTTGGGGGTTTCTTGGCAGAGATACTGGAGTGGTTTGCCATTTCCTTCTCCAGCTCATTTTACAGATGAGGAAACTAAGGCAAATAGGATGAAGTGACTTGCTCAGGATCTCACAGCTAGTAAGTGCGAGATTGGAACTCAAGAAATTAAGACTCCAGGCCAATGCTCTATCCACTGTATCACCTAGCTGCCCCTCTAATGGGAGAGGTAATATGTGTCTACATAAATGCATACATACAGAATGAGAGACAGATTGATTTAACTAATCTGGTCACACACACACTGTTGCCAGATCTATATCTGAAGCCTTTCCTGCTTAGTAGGACTTTTCAGAGCCTGGGCTTTGCTGTCCTAGTCTTTAAGAACTATTCCCATACCACAGTAGGACAGGACAGGAGGTGGAGAAAACCAAGCAAAGCTTCTGAATATTTTAATTAATATATTAACCCATTGAACCAAATGAGCAAATAGTTACTAATGCATGCCCAAGTAACAGTGTTCATGTAACATAGCAGCTACACTCAGGACGCGCTCTTCCATCCTTTTCTCCCCTGACATATTGGATCCCTTTAGGATTGTAAAGGATAGCGTAAAGGGGTATTCGGGGTGTGATTTTCTAGAACTATACATGACTCATAAGCTCCAACCATTTTGGTTCCCCCATCGATTATAAATTTATGTCAATTAGCTAGCCAGTTAATTAGTATTTGGAAATGGGTTTTACTAAGTGGTATAGTAAGAACTAAATAATTCATTAGACTGATTTTTCCCTCCACAGTAAACTTGCAGTTTGGGCATCATGTAAACGTAGCCTTAATGTTTTATTAAAGACCGACTGTCAAGGGAAGACATGAGTTGATGGAGATATTAAAATAAGTGAAGAAATGTAATGTAATAATTGATGATATAGGAGGATGGATTGAAAGAACTAAACATTTTTAGCTTGAAGAAAAGAAGACTCGGGGGGAATTCCTCAAGGAATTTAGAGTCTGGTTGGGGAGACAAAACTAATGCATCGGAAGCAACTGGAAGGCAATTTAGATACTCACTTGTGAGGTAATGACACAGGAGTTTACAGGAGGGAGAGTAGTGTGGCCTGGGGCAGGGAGGTAGTTTAATGGAGAAAGTGGGACTTCAGAGAATGGCGAGGATTTGGATGGAGGAGGGCTTCCAGATGCATGGACAGACAGATGATGGAGATAAGCGCAGCATGTGGGGAGGACTAGCAAGGCCAGCTTCACTGGAGCAGAGGATTTATGGTGGAGAATAGTGAGAGAAAAGCTTGGAAAGGTAGAGTGGGTTTTTTTTTTTTAGGCAATTGGGGTTAAGTGACTTGCCCAGGGTCCCACAGCTAGTGAGTGTCAAGTGTTTGGTCTGATGCCAGATTTGAAATCATATCCTCCTGACTTCAGGGCTGGTGCTTTATCCACTGCGCCACCAAGCTGCCCCGGTTTTTGTTGATCTAGTGGGAAAAGCACTGGTTATCCAGCATTGACCCCCAAGCCTTGCTTTTTTGACCAACTTAAAGCTGCTATTGACAAACAGGTGCTTGTGTGGCAGTGAGCTGATGGGATTCTCTTTGCCTTGGTTTACCTGGACCAAACCTAGGAGGATACTTCTGATTCTTAGTATTGTAGAGGACTCAGTTGCTTTTCTCCAAAACAATTCCTGGCATGCCCTTCCTACTCACCCCTTACTCTCCAAAAAAAAAAAAAATCACCCTTGGTTTTCCTACTCAGAAATATTTTATTTCATATTTAGCTTTCCTAGACTGAAGGAAAAAATAGAGGGAGAACGCCCAAACTGACCAGGAGTAATTTCATTCTTTATCTTAGAATAGCTAGCATCTAGCACAGTGCCTGCCACAAAGCAGGGACTCAATAAATGCTTGTTAATTGACTGTTTAACCTTCCCTTTGCAGGAAATCTAAGTCAACTCAACAGCAAACGTCACGAGATTTGCTTCTTTTTCTCTTTGTTTTTCCTTCTTCGATTTTATATTTTTAGCTCATCATGAACATGGACATCAAAGGACACTTGTCGACAACAAGTGTCAGTGTGTCCGAGTCACTTCAAGACTGGTTCCTTCTGAAGACAATCCGGATGAGAAGGTGGTGGAGAGAAACATTCGTCTCATGTATGTAATTTCCCACATCTTAAATGAGATAATGGTAAATCAACCAATCATTATGTATAATTAATATATAATATAAATAATTAAATGACAGCAATGACTGCCAAGGGCTTAGTGCAGCGCCTGCCGCGCTGTAGTGGCCGTGTAAAAATCAGTGATTATTATTCTTATTACCTTCATGTCCTACTTTCTGGCAAGGGGCGAGGGTGCTGTGATATAAGAGGGTCAGGGGGTCAGGGGTGAAAGCGCGCCATGCTGGGTGGAGTACTGGCCTTGGAATAAATAAATCCAAGCTTAAATCTCCATTCTGGTGCTTACTAAGTTCATATGCATAGTTTTTAATTGACAGTGTAGAACTAAGGACTGGAAATTGTTATTGTTTAGTTGTATCTGACTCTTTGTGACCCCATTTGGGGTTTTCTTGGTAGAATTACTGGAGGGGTTTGCCATTTCCTTCTCCAGTTTATTTTACAGATGAGGAAACTGAGGTAAACAGGGTGAAGTGACTTGCCCAGGGTTGCACAGCTAGGTGTCTGAGGCTGGATTTGAACTCAAGAAGATGGGCCTGGTGCTCCATCTTCTGTGGCACCTAATAGGGTTAATCATCTAGGACAGGAGTTTACCAAATTTTTTTAATCCCCATGTCCCCTGTCTTTCACCAAAGCTCCCCATCCTCTCTATACAATATCAATGAAAAGAAATTCTAGCATTTACCATGCCTATGCACAGAAAAATAAAATAGATAATTTTAGTAGGTTGTGGAGTTATTTATCAAATGTTCCCTGTTTCCACTGATTAGGTTTTTGTATTGTCGCTGGTAGGGGACCCCTGATTTGGGACTGAGCCTAAGAACAGAAGTTTTAGCCCAGAAGATTCATTATGCTCCTGTTTGCATAGTATCCCCTAAAATTAGAATGTCTTGTGTCTGTGATAGGTCAGTCCTGGAGAAAATAGAACAGAAAGCCACTGTATTAATAATTTGAAAGCCCTTTGGGCTCATTGCCAAATAACAGTGGGAAAGGTATTTTCTCCCAGCATAGCTCACAGTCTGGTAGGCAACTGAAAGTTCTGATCTGGTCCAGTCAATCCATCTGTTCTGCCCATACAAGGCTGATTCAACCTGAACTAGAGTTTTCAGTGGTTTGTGTGCAATGCCAGCTGAAACTTTAGATGGATGCTTCATGACAGAGAGAGAGAGACAGAGAGAGAGAAACAGAGAAAGAGAGAGAGACAGACAGAGACAGAGACAGAAATACAGACACGGAGAGAGACAGAGAGAGAAACAGAGAGAGGAGAGATATTTTGGTATTTTGGTTCTTCTGGCTTTTAATTTTGAGAGAAAAGATATATAATACCAACCTTCCTTTAGGTATTGAAGAGAAAAAGACGGGGAAGCAGCTGACATGAATAAGAGTACTAACAATTTTTTGAGCATAATGATTTTTGCTAACTAGACTGTAAACACTGTGAGGACAGGGAATATCTGAATATGGATTTGCTGAATTAATTTGTTGTTGATTCCTAGCCAGGCACATCCTGCCATAGATACTTCCATGGGGAAGGCAGTAGTTTTTCCTCCAGAAATGCAGGTCTTATCTTACTCCAAATGTGGCATTTGTTCTGTTGCACTATAGATAGTAGGTCACACACTCAAATTTGACATACTATCATACTTTGTCATGGTGACTTTGCATCTACATGATGTTTAATACATGTCTTAATTTGTGCAATGATCATTTCTGGAAAATAGCATTTGTCAAAATCAGATTTCTCTATCTTGATGCTTTCTCATGTTGTGATCACTTATTTTTTGAGATTTAAAAATACTGATTTAATTTTTTATTTTCCCCCAGTTATGTGTAAAAACAATTTTTAACTTTTGTTTTAAAAAAGTTGAGTTCCGAATTCTCTCCTCTCTCCCCCTCCCCCCCTTACTGAGAATATAAGCAATTTGATATAGGTTTTATGTATATATATGTATATATATATATATATATATATATATACACATATATGTATGTATACATAGTCAAGCAAAACATATTTCCACACTAGTCATGTTGTGAAAGAAAATAAAGACCCCCCAAAAAAACCCCAAGAAAAGTAAAGTTAAAAAAATATGCTTTGATCTGCATCCAGACTACTTTCTCTGGAGGTGAATATCATTTTTCACCATAAGTCCTTTGGAATTGTCTTGGATTGCTGAGAATAGCTAAGTCATTCACAGTTGATCATTATATAATATTGCTGTTACTGTGTACAGTGTTCTCCTGGTTCTGCTATTTTACTTTGCATCAGTTCATCTAAGTGTTTCCAGGCCTTTCTGAGAGCATCCTACTCATTAATTCCTGTAGCACAATAGTATTCCATCATAGTCATATACCACAATTTGTTCAGCCATTACCCAATTGATGGGCATCACCTCAGTTTCCAATTCTTTGCCACCACTGAAAGAGCTGCTATAAATATTTTTGTGTGTATAGGTCCTTTTCCTTTTTATTTTTTGTCTCTTTGGGATGCAGACCTTGTAGTGGTATAGCTGGGTCGAAGAATATGCATGGTTTTATAGCCCTTTGGACATAGTTTCAAATTGCTCTTCAGAGTGGTTGAATCAGTTCACAGTTCCATCAACAATGCATTAATGTCTTAATTCTCCACATCCTCTCCAATATTTGTCATTTTCCTTTTGTCATATTAGCTAATCTGATAGGTGTGGGATGGTATCTCAGAGTTGTTTTAATTTGAATTTCCCTAATCAATAGTGATTTAGAGCATTTTTTCATATGATTATTAGATAGTTTTGATTACTTTGTCTGAAAACTGCTTGTTCATATCATTTGATGATTTATCAATTGGGGGATGCCTCATTTTTTAAAATAGATTTGACTCAGTTCTCTATATATTTGATAAATGAGGCCTTTATCAGAGAAACTTGCTATAATTTTTTCATAGTTATGATTAGTAGCTTGTATTTCCCTCTGTCCCATTCCCCCCTTTTTATACTACTCTCTCCTTTCACCCTGTCCATCCTTAAAAATATTTTTCTTCTGACTACTGCTTTCCCCAATTTGCTGTCCTTTCTATCAGTCAGCCACCCCCAAACCTTCTCTTATTCCCATCCTCTTCTACTTTCCTGTAGAGTAAGAGAGATTTCTACACTCAACTGAATGTTTATGTTATTCCCTCTTTGAGCCAAGTTCACTCACTCTCCCTACCTCCCCTATTTTCTCCTCCATTGTAAGTTATTTTGTACCTCTTTAATGTGAGATAATTTACTCCATTCCACTCTCCCTTTCCCTTTCTCCCATGCATTATTCTTTCTCATCCTTTAATGTTATTTTTTCGAATAATCATCCCATCATATTCAACTCACACTTGTGCCCTTTGTCTATGTGTACTCTTTCTAAGTGCCCTAATAATGAGAAAGTTTTCGGAGTTACATGTATCATCTTCCCATGTAGGGATGTAAACATTTTAACCTTATTAAATCCCTTATGATTTCTCTTTCCTCTTTACCTTTTTATGCTTCTCCTGAGTCTTATATTTGACTGTCAATTTTTTTATTCAGCTCTGGTTTTTTCATCAGGAATGGTTGAAAGTTTTCTATTTCATTGAATATCCATTCCCCCCGTTCCCCGCCCCGAAAGATTATACTCAGTTTTGCTTGATTCTTTGTTGTAATCCTAGCTCCTTTGCCCTTTCGAATATCATATTCTAAGCCTTCTGATCCTTTAATGTAGAAGCTGCCAAATCTTTATGTTATCCTGACTATGGCTTCATGATATTTGAATTACTACTTTCTGGCTGCTTGCAATATTTTTTCCTTGACCTTGGGGCTCTGGAATTTGGCTGTAATATTCTTGAGAGTTTTCATTTTGGTATGTCTTTCAGGAGGTGATTGGTGGATTCTTTCAATTTCTATTTTACCCTCTGGTTCTAGAATCTCAGGGCAGTTTTCCTTGATAATCTCTTGAAAGATGATATCTGGGCTTTTTTTTTTTATCATGGCTTTCAGGTAGTCCAATACTTCTTAAATGATCTCTCTTGGATCTATTTTCCAGGTTAGTTTTTCCAATAAGATATTTCACATTTTCTTCTATTTTTAAATTTTTTTTGTTTTATTTTATTGCTTCTTGATGTCTTATGGAGTCAATAGCTTCCACTTGCCCAATTCTAATTTTTAAGGAATTATTATATTTTTTCAGCTGCAAAAGGATTTTTAAAATTTTAAAAATTAATTTATTTTGAATTATCAACAATAACTTCCATATGCTTTTGAGTTTTAAATTTTTCTCCCCCTCTCTCTCCACCTCCCTCCTCAAGACAGCGCACAATCTGATATAGGCTATACATATACATTCTTATTAAACATATTTTCACATTAGTAATGTTGTAAGTAAGAATTAGAGCCAATGGGAGGAACCACCAGAAAGAGGAAACAAAACACAACAGAAGAAAAAAAAAGAGCAAATAGTATGTTTCCATCTGCATTCAAACTCCATAGTTCTTTCTTCTTTGTGGGTAGCATTTAAGGAATTATTTTCTTCAGTGAGCTTTTGAACATCCTTTTACATTTGGCCAGTTCTATTTTTTTGGCCAGTTCTGCTTTTTAAGGAGTTCTTTTCTTCAGTGAATTTTTGCATTTTTTTTTTCCATTTAACCAATTCTTTTTTTGAAGGCATTCTTCTCTTCATTGAATTTTTGTACCTCTTTTACCATTTGGCCTATTCTGTTTTTTTAAGGTGTTATTTTCTTATTTTTTTGTGCTTCCTTAACCAAACTGTTGACTCTTTTTTCATTATTTTCCTGCATCACTGTCATTTCTTTTCCTGATTTTTCCTCTACCTCCCTTATTTTATTTTTAAATTCCTTTTTGAGCTCTTCCAGGAATTCTTTCTGGGCGTGAGACCCATTCCCACTTTGAGGCTTTGGTAGCAGTTTTTGACTTTGTTGTTTTCTTCTGACTTTGTCTTTTGATCTTCCCTGTCACCAGGGTAACTTTCTATGGTCAGGATCTTTTTTGTTATTTGCTCATTTTTCCTGCCTATTTCTTGACTTTTATCTTTATATTAAAGTTATATTAAAGTCAGGCTCTGCTCCTAGGGTAGAGGGGGCACCGTCCCAAGCTTCAGGTTTTTTGTGCAGCTAGTTCTGGGGGTCTGTAAACTTTCAGTTCTTCCACGGTGGTATGACCTAAGGAGAGGGGTGTTTACTCCTCTCCTGGCCTGTGCTCTGGTCTGTGAGTGACCACAAGCTCTCTTCTCTGCCCTGGACCTGGGAGGAGGGTCCTTGCTCTCCTGGGGCCATAAGCTCTGGTGTGCTAGTGCTCCTCCTTGCCTGGGGACTGTGACCCAGGACTGTGACCTGGACCCGAGTGGGCAATGTAACAGAATCCTGCACCCAGTGCGAGCAAAGGGACCCCTATAATCTCCAGACCAGTTGCCTGGCCCCTTTACTGTTTGTGGGTTGAGAATTCTGGAAGCAGCTACCTCTGATTCAGTCACTCCCAAAGCCTTCTGCTGGTTTGGTGGGTCACAGCCTGTGCTCTACTTTTATCCTGGGGTGATCGATCTTTTCTGCTGGCCTTCTAAGTTGTGTTGGGCTAGAAACTTGCTTTACCCCATCCTTTTGTGGGTTTTGCCACTCCAGAATTTGTTTGAGATAGTATTTAAAGTTGTTTGGAGAGGGAATTTGGGAGAGCTCAGGTGAGGCCTGCTTTTTCTCCACCATTTTGGCTCTATATTGTGATCGCTTTTAAGGCCTTTCTAACAGAGGTACAAATGTGGCATTTGAATAAGACATAGAGGATAATACAGTATAAATGTCAAGTAAAGCTATTTTGTTGGTGGATCAGGAAAGTATGTCATTTATTATGTGAGCTCATTCACATGACTCCAGTTATCACCATTTTAGATTATCGTATAGGGTGCTAATAGGCATCTAGGTGCTGAGCAAAAGACACATATTTTTCCAATAAAAGTGACTTTGGACAATTTCCCTCCTTCTTCTTCAGTGTCCCTCTGAAGAACAGAGAGAACATTTCTGATCCCAATTCTCCTGTGAGGACCACCTTCGTGTACCAGCTGTCTCAACTGTAAGAACTTGTCCTTTATTTTAATTTAGAAGTTGAAGTTGATGAAAAAGAAAGATTAGAAAAATTTCAAAAATCATAACAAGGTTTTAGAAAAAATGTTGACATACAGGTAATGCAAACACAATAGACCCTCTCCTTGACTTGGTGTGATATACTCATGTGTCTTTGTCCCAGAGAAAAATACCACATTAAGTAAATCCTTGTGGCTCCCTCACTGCAGAGGAGAGAGCTGCTGTCAGTGAAGAAAGAGCAAATATGAATATCTGAAAATTTTGACTTTTAACACTAAATGTAGTCATATTTGTGTGGTTTGTTTTTAAAGTGCATAACCCACTGTACATGGTGGTGCATATCTGTAATCCTGGTTACTTACTGGGAGGCTGAAGCTGGTGGATCATTTGAGCTTGAGAGTTCTGAGCTGCATTAGGGCTGAAACCAATCAAATGTCCACACTAAGTCAAGCACCCACATGGTGAACCCTCATGAGCCTGAAGCCACCAGGCTGCCTAAAGAGGGGTCAACTGGGCCCAGTCAAAAATGGAGCAGGTTAAAGCTCCCATGAAGATCAGGACTGGGAACATACCTGTGCATGGCTGCTGTACTTTCAACATTGGAGAGATAGGGAGACCAAGAAAAAGTATATACATACATACATATATATATATATATATGTATATGAACCTCACATAACCCAAGATATTTAATAGCCAGTATCATTTTATTTGACTTTGAGTTTCTCTGATTGTGTTTGAGAGTAACTGGAAATGACTCATTCAAACTGTACCAGAACTAGTCAATTCATTTAATTTAGTGGGGGAAAAAATAAATCAAGGTAGTTACTTGGTATCTTGTAGACAAAGGAAACAGATTATTGAATTATTATTTTCCATTTGGTTGTTTTGGTATTGTGAAGACAGATATAGATGAAACAGTGATGCGAAATAAATGCCTAGCACAGGGACTGGCATGTGGCTGGTGCTTAATAAATGCTTGTTGCTTAATTAAAGAAATCCTACATTGGTCGCATTTTATCATGATGCTTCAGAAAGCTGGAAGTTGGCCTTCTGCTTATCACAGGTTTCTGCTCAGAGTTGCAGGATACGGTGGAACTTGGATGGGAACGTGCGATTAGGGACAGCTACAAATGACCATTTACCCTCCACTGGGATGAGACATCACTCAGTGGCCGGTGTTTAATGCATATATTTACTTTTCAGCTGTGGAAAGCATGACCCCGTCGAACTGGAGCTGGACAATGAGGTTGTTGCTGCCACCCAGGGCAATCAGTATGGCGAAGACAGTGAAACCTGTTACACTTATGACAGAAACAAATGTTACACGTCTACTGCCTCTCTTTATTTGGGAGGGGAGACCAGAATGGTGACAACAGCATTGACCCCCGAGTCCTGCTATTCTGACTAATGTAAAGGCTCCACTGACCGAAATATCTCCCTGCCTGGCATAGAGCTCTTTGCTTCCATCTTGCTTCCATTTTTATGATCCACAAGCATATGGCCACAAATATCTGTTTCTAGAATGTTCCACATACCCTTTTTTCTTGTCCCATTGCAATGATGTAATCCTTGGGAAGGAATTCTCCAGTGACATGTCTGTAGGGGAGATCTCAACTTCCCTCTAGGCCTACGTTCATTAAACTCAAATTTTCCCTGTGCCCACTGCTTATCCTAGTCCCTAGAAATATGGGGAATGAGTTTCCTCAAATTTGTGAGTCACGCAGATAAGAGTAGAGCTGATGGCATCATCTCCAAGAATGACAAATTAGAAGGTACAGGAAAACACTGATTCTCTCTCTCTCTCTCTCTCTCTCTCCTCTCTCTCTCTCTCTCTCTCTCTCTCTCTCTCTCTCTCTCTCCCTCCTCCTCCTTTGCTTTGCACATGCCAATTTATTTTGCCAAAAAGAATGCATCTCTGTGCTATTGAGGAAATACATATGCAAATATAATTGCAGCTGATGCTGTTATTAGCAATATACTAATTGGTAGATATTGATACATTTAAAAGTATTTATAGATGTGAACACAATATCAAACAAGAACTGCAATGTCACATGGAACAGCTATGGACATATTTTCCCCCAAAACAAAGTGATTGGCAGTTATGTTGTGTAAATAATCAGTTTGAAAAATGATTCATTTCAGGATTAGTAATTCAGGTCACCAAGCCCCATTTCTTATTCTAATTTTCTTTCTGTATAAAAGCAAAAATTCTAATTTAATGAAAAAATGAATTAATATTAGAACACTGAAGTCCCTGCATTGCCATCTGTTATGGCAAATATCTTGTATCTTGCTTTCATGCAGGCACTGCCCTGGATAATGCAGAATTGTCTTCTTCTTCTTCTTCTTCTTCTTCTTCTTCTTCTCTTCTTCTTCTTCTTCTTCTTCTTCATCGTTGTCATCAAAAATGTTTGAAGGATCCTCAAGTTATTTGAAAAATTCTGCTCTGGAATAATCCATGTTGTGACTAATTAATCTTTAAGCAATATGTATTACTAGAAATGCATCCTCTAGCATTGCTTTAACAATTAAATCATTTCAGAAGCATCTGCCTGTGTGAAGCTTGTCTTTTAAGGAAGAACAAATGAAGCTTCTTCTTTAATCTCTACCATATAGTACCCAGCTGTGTTGCTCAGCTTTTCCTTGAAGACCTACAATGAAGAGAAACTTACCCCCCTACTGAAGTAGCTTTCTGCACTTGTGGACGGCTGTACTTGTGAGGAAGATTTTCCTGACATTGAGCCCAAATTGGAAGTTTTGTAATTTCTACAAAAAAGCAGGAAGAAAAATGTAGGCAGCTGGTGGTACCATGGATAGCGCTTGGGACTAGAGTCAGGAAGACACTTGAGTTCAAGTCTGATCTCAGACACTTACTGTGTGACCCTGGGCAAATCACTCAACCTCTGTTTGATTCAGTTAACTCAGTTGTTACTGGAGATAATGACAGCACCTACCTCCCAGCATTGTTGTGAGGGTCAAATGAGATGCTTGTAACAAAGCGCTTAGCATTTGATAAATGCTTATTCCCTTCCCCTTTCTTTCTCCTCCTTGTTTTCTCCTTCTGAGGCCAAAGAGAACTAATCTATTTCCCTCCTCTCCATGACAGCTCTACCAAGAATAAATGAGCATACACTTTATTACAATACCTAGACACATCAGTAGGGTTTTGCCCATGGCAAAATGTTGCATCTCTTCTCTTATTTGTATGTTGTCTTTTTTTTTTTTTATCATGGGTGCCTGGTACATAGTAGAAACTTAATAAATTCTTGTTTATTGATTGATTGATGCCCCTGATTCAATTAGAGGCTTGTAAAAAGTCGTGTGTGACCTCATACTTGGAAAACTGTTACTCAGTAAAAATGTATCTTTAATTTAGAGAAAAGGAATTCAAACTTCACGTGTGTTGGTAGTATCCCTGCTTCGACTTGAGGTGACAGCAGCAGCAGCAGCCTATTCTGACTCATGTCCTGACTTTCATAAGCCTACAGAAAGACAGCCCACACCTTTAATACTTGCTAATGGAGAGGCTCAGGCTCTTGGGTCACTTGAGTTAAGGGGTTCTAAGCTGCAGTAAGGCCAACATCCAATTGGATGCCCACAGTAGGTCTGGCGTCAAGACGGTGAGTCCCTAAAAGTGAGGGACCATCAGGCTTCAAGAAAAGGGATGAATTGGCCCAGGTTGGAAATGAAGCAGGTCAAAGCTTACATGAAATCAACAGTGGGGTGAGGCCCTTAAGAGGATGCTGTATTTCCTACCAACTTGGGTGAGATAGGGAGACCCAGTCTTAAAAAAAAAAAGAAAGCAAAGGAAAAAAAAAGGATCATTTTACCATTAACCAGAAATGGACTGTGATTGATAATTTTGGCTTCCAGGTGGTTCTGTACTCCAGCAACTAGCCTAGTTTCCCTTTAGGATCTTGTTGACAGATGGACATAAAAGATCTCTAGTTGTATATATATATGTGCTGGCAGCCCAGCTCTGCCAAGACATTAGTACCTAAAACTTGACATGTCCCAAACTGAGTTTATTGTCTGATCTCCAGATATGCTTCTAGGCTGGCTATTGACTTCATCATTTCTCATTTATCAATGTGTTATCAATCAATCAACAATCAATGAATAAGCATTTACTTTTATTTTCTCTCTCCCTCACCAATTAGTCACCAGCATCATGGAATTTGAGTGTTGGAAGGTACCTCAGTAACAATTAAGGACAATCCATACCTGCAACAAATCTCTCCCATATTATACCCAACGTGTGATAATTTAGCTTTTGCTTGAAGATCTCCATGGAGGGAGAATCCATTGCCCCATGAGAAATCTTCACCCGCTTGTGGCCAGCTCTAATCATTGGGAAGATTTTCCTGACATTGAGTCTAAATCTGACTTTTTTGCAGCTTCCACTCATGGCTTCTTGTTTCATTCTTTTGGGACAAATGGAAAAAACCAATCCCTACTTCATACAGCCTTTGAAATATTTGAACATAGCTATCATATTTTCCCTGAGTCTCTTTGTCTTGAGATTAGACATCCCAATTTCCTTCTATGACCTAGATTAATAGTCCTTCACCATCTTGGTTTTCTTCTCTGGTTGCTCTCCATCTTATCAGTGTCCTTCCTAAATGGCAGCTCCCCAAACTGAACACAATATTCAAGGTGTGGTCTGACCAGGGCATTGTACGGAGGGACAATCTCCCTATTCTTGGAAGCTATGCCTCTCTTAATGCACCTTTCTCTCAGCCTGGCCTTCCACCACCAACTGCCTTTTGGACATCTTAAGCTAGATATCTGGTAGACATCTCAAAACAAACATTTCCTGAAATGAACCAATTGTTTTTCCCTCTAAACCCTCCCCTCTTCCCAGTGTCCTTATTACTTCTTTCCCTCTAAGAGTGAGGGGCCATCAGGCTGTCTGAAGAGGGGGATGTCAGGTTTTTTTCTGTTAATTCTTCCCCCTTTCCCTATGATTTCCTGTGAGGGCACCAACATTCTCCTAGTCACCTAAGCTCCCAAACTTGGCATCCTTGCACTCATCCCACATGTCCAATTTGCTGCCACATTTTGTCATTTCTACCATCACAACATCTTTCGTGCGTGTCCCTTTTTTCCACTCACACTGCCCCCAACCTGGTGAAGGTCCCTCCTCACCTCACACATTGATAATTTCAACAGCTGCTGGTGGGTCTGCCTGCCTCTAGTCTCTCCCCATTCCAATCCTTTCTCCATTAAGCCACCAAAGGGATTTTCCTAAAGTGTACATCACCTCCTTATTCAAATGGCTCTCTGTTACTCCAGGAGGAAATACATATCCTCCGTTTGGCTTGACCTCCTCCCACATTTCCCATCTTCTTATGCTTTACTTTCCTCCGTGTTCTCTATGACCCAGGGCCGTTGGCCTCCTGAATATTTCTTGCACACAACACCCTGTCTCCTGACACGCGGCCTCTTCACTGGCCCTTCTCCATGCCTGGACTTCTTCCTCTCCTTGACTGAATCCCCAGGCTTCCCTGGCTTCCTTTAAGACTCATCTCAAATCCTTCCTTCTGCAAGTCTTCCCTCCCCTTTCCCCCAAGTCTCCACTCCCACTTTCTGAGATACCTTCAATTCATCCTGCCTATGTTTTGTGTATAATTAGTTGATTTAGAGTGTGAGCATGTGAGCTCCTTTAGGGCAGTTTTTTAATTTTTATTTTTTTCTATTCTCTGTATCCCCAGAGCTTAGCACAGTGCCTGGAACACAGTAATCACCTAATAAATTCTCATTGTTGACTGACTCATTGGTTGCTGAATCCCACTGCTGACTTACATTGCTTCCAGACCTTTTTCAGACAAACTGCTGTCTAATCTAGCCTCTCCCATCCTTTGCTTGTAAAATTAATATTTTTGAACTTGCATGGTAAGAACAATACCTACAAGGCCCTGAAACAGAGCATGTGGCCTATCTACCCCATGCATTTCCTGGATGTGATCCTGGCTACTTCACTGGCCTAGGGGACCAAGGCTGGGACCACTGATGTGGCTTCCTGCTGGCCCAGGTGCCAAAAGCTAGAGTGTGAGGAGTCAAAGTCTCCTCGCTTGGGCTTGACAGAGGTGCACCAGCCTGGCCACTCAGAGGCAGAAGAGAAACCGCACCCAACTGAATTGGTGCTGGGTGCTTGCTGAGCAGCCTTTCCATCCTGTGGCTGTCAGCTTTCTTTTACTAACTTATTAGATAGCTTATGAATGTCTCACCTGGTGCAATTAGGGCAGGTAAGTAGTACAGTGGATAGAGAGCTGATCCGGGGGTCAGGAAGACCTGAGTTCAAATCCAGCCTCAGACACTCACTAGCTCTGTGACTTTGGGAAGGTGTTTAATCTCTGTTTGCCTCAGTTTCCTCATCTGTAAAATGGAGATCGTAATGGCACCTGCCCCCCCCAGGTTATTATGAGGATCAAATGAAACCATAATTGAAGGTGCTTAGTGTAGGGCCAGGAGCACAGTAAGCGCTGAATAAAGTTAGCTTTTATTTTTAAGTTTATTCTTGAGTCTGAGTCACCGAATCGGTCTCAGGCAGGCCTCTCCTAGTACCGCGATTATAAGACTTCGCATTAAGATGTAGGAACTGATCAGCTCACTGGACTGTAGCTTGCAGACTTTATTTCTTTCTTGTTTTTGAAATTAGGTTGTCTTGCCTCTTCCTTGTTGACTGAATGGCTGGACCCAAGGAGTGGTTGTTAGCGAGTCCATGTCAAGTGGGTAGGAAGTCTCCAGTGGAGGGTCTCAGGAAACTATACTTGGACCTACGTCATCTAGCATTATTATCGATGACTTGGAAAAAAAGCATGGCTGGCATGTGGTAGAGGCAGGCCTACTCTCAACACTCTGTTAGTTGAGGTTCAATGTTGAAATGCAATGGGACACTCATGAGTCATTGAACAATTAACAGAAGGAGGTTTCCTTTGCCCTAATGCAGCAAGGACATAGTAACAGAGCCACTCTGGAGGTAGCTCCCCCACTTTGTCTTCATATGGAAACATATCTGCTCAGCAGGGCAGGGTGTGGTGACTTGTGTGGTCTACAGAAATTCGCCATCAGACCCTGACTGTACATGGACACAACTTTTTATGCCCTTGGGTGACCAGGACACTGTGTCAAGGGATATTGTGGCTATTCAAACTTCAGGAAAAAAAAATTTAAAATAAAAAACAAACTTCAGGGATACCTTTTTTTGCCTTCCGGGGAAAACTAATCCATATTAGGGGAAAAGAGAGAAACCTTGGGCCCTAATATAGTATGCTAATCAAATTTGCTGATGACACAAAGGTAGAAAGGATAACTAACACCCTGCCTGATTGAGTCATGGACCCGAAAGATCCTGGCAGGCTAGAACGCTGGACTGAGTGGATATAATAAGATGAAATTCAACCGAGATAAATATTTTCTAGGCTTCAAAAAAATCTACTTCCCAAGTGAAAGATGGCTAGATAGCAGCTTGTTTGAAAAAAAGATCTGGGGATCTGAGTGGATTGCAAGCTCAGTGAGAGTCAACTATGTGATGGAGTAGCCCAAA